CCCTCTGTACAGAGGAGGCCTTTGCCCAGCAGTGGGACATGTATAGGCTGTTACTTTGATTGAATTTATCTTTCATGTACACTTTAGTAAATTATAAATGACCATTCTGACTTATGTACTATATACGAATGTTAAAATTGAACTGTTGTTTTAGAAAATATCGTTATGGATCACCCATTACATAACAATCGGTTATAATAATTTAATAAGGTGAAAATAATATATGACAAATGCTATTATTCATATTACACTGCATTAAACATTTAAACAGGCTGATCACTTTTCATCCTTGCAACTAAGTTAAAAAGTACGATAATATTTTTCTTTAAGTATAAAACATTACAAAAATAATAATGAGTTAACTCAATGCGAATAAACAAAAATGCAAAGTTATATTACAGCCTGATCAAAATGTATTTGGACCCTTGGAATAGTATTTGCAAAATTATGTTTCCGAGTTTCGTCAACAGTTCAAGTGGCTCCCAATCCGTCTGCGCAGGAATACTCATATTCTTCCTTAAGTGTTCCTTGTGTTCCTTCTTTAAGTGTTGTTATATCATCCTACTCATAATACAGTTTAAAGACCGTTTTTAGTATATCTCTATCTACTACAAAACGTTCCTTCATTCTTCAGGCAATCTCTCCTTCCAAACTCCTGTACATTCCTCTTCTATCTTAAAGAAATCTTTTCAGGTAACTGTGCGTTTGTGGATTTCTATGCTCTTACATATTAATTTATATTATAACTTTAACATACTAGTAAAGTTCATTACTTGGAACTCAAATTGCATGCTTCCTTTATTGATTTTATCCATGAATACCTCCACACTGAGTTAAGCACTGTGTTACAAATAATATAGAAGCGCGCTTGGTGTTAGCATTTTGTGCTGATAATAATGCATGGTAAAACCCTGACCTTAGAATGGCTTGTTAAATCGAACCGCAATTAAGCATCCGCAGGTATCTCCGATACCCGTTCTGCGCAAGTTCCGTTGGCCTCAACATATATTTAAAACCTACGACACACCAAGTACATTCACGTCATTTCAGAGAAGGGTAAGAAAATTATTATGGTTTTTCCCGCCTTTATTTACATAAAGTAGAAAGAATTTAATACAAAACAGTAAGTTATACAATGTAATCTGATTAAATCGCAATATATTAAGGAAAAGTTTAAATTCTTGAGACGAAAAGATTAGGTTAGTTAAGGTTAAGCATTAAGCATTAAGGTTAAGCAATAACAAAAATGTACACCAAATTTTGCGTTTATATTATAATATTTTATTCACGCGTTAAGTGTATCAACAACCTTAAAAATTTTATAAGCTACTGTATACTACATAAGAGCTATGTAAAGGTTATACAGTGATTAAAGTAAGGTATTCGAATTACCAAGCGCACGTAGCTATAGAAGATTACTCATGGATAGATTAATAATGTAAGTCGTAGTGTTTTTCAAACAGTAATAACCTGGTATTATAACTTTTGCAATAAACTTAATGTAATTAGTTATTGGATCAATGTAATTATGTATATTTAAATTATTGATATTCAACGTTATTGTGGAATCGATACTTACTAAAAAAATATTATTATTAAAATTTGTAGAAAAAAAGTAAGAAAAGCTTAGTGGCGAATCCCGAAGACGTGGGTTCGATTCCCACAGCGGCGGAAGAATTTTCGTACCTTTTTCTACAAATTTTATTGTTTAATCTTAAGTGCATGCAATTAGCACTAAAAAAAATTAACTTTCTAAATATATATTCTTATTATTAAACATTTAATGATACTAAAATTTAAAATATTACAATTTTCGTCGAAATAGAGAAATATTGCAATGTTATTATTTGCTACTCATTTACTTAGGTAGGTAGTAAAAACCGAGATAATCGATTGGTTTAAAGAAAACAAACTTTCCAAAAATTATAACCGAATCAAAGTTAGGAATGAGTAATCAATTCTTCATAACTAATAGTGTTAGTCAAAGCACCCTTGACTTGACTGAATATCAACGAGGACTATTGTTAGTTATAAATTATAAATGATTACTATTATGTACAATAAGTAAAGTTCAAAGAGTAATGCTTGTTGGCTTGTAAACAACCCATTGTCCAAATGGCCCAGACAAATAATTCTCAAACTTATATGGGTCATAACCCTCTTACAATAATGGTTCAAGATCAAGTGAATTAACTATTAAAATATGTTAAAGATTGGATTTTATTTTCTTCTATACTTTCTTTTTCTCCGCGCTTCCACAAAATATCTTTCCAACAAGATCTGTTTTCATAGTATCAAAAAATGTGCATACAAACAACTCTTTACTCTGTGTCATTCCTGTCTAAGAAAGGTTTAAGTACTTTGTACACATTAATATCATATTATTGTAAATAGATTACGCGTATGCCGCTATGTTAAAAATTAACTTTACTGATAGAAAATAAATAACTAAAAAGAAAAGGATGGTCTTGACTATGATTTTAGCACGTCAGACATCTCAGTCCCTATCTCTGCTGTATCTATTTTGTATCTCGACTTTATTCTTAACATCGTAAAATAAGAAAATTATGTTAATTTAGGATTATTATCTCAATAAAACAGGATTTTCTGGTGAAATCTAAAGATAGTGACTTTTTCAGAATCGGGTTATTTAACTTGAAAACATCAAATATTTTCAAATTTGTTTGTAACGTTTACTTTGCAATATGGGCAGCAATAGATTGTGCAGAATTTAAATAGTAACTTGATGGCCATACGTGTAAGTATAATAAACTTTATTAGCATGGGTGGTCATGTCTTAGCATCATGATAGAGTCAACATCGCATATTAACCCGTTTTAATGTGCTTATGACGCCTGATACAGAAGCTGCAAATTAAACGCAAACACAATTGTTTTAGCAGTCCCATAGACATAATTTGATATTGTTTTTGTAATAAACCTTAATTATTTTATTTTATAAATTTTTGTAATAAACCTAAGCATACATAGGGACAGACTGACTGCGGAACTGCTTAGTTTTATACTATGTAGAGATGTACTTTGTTCAGTAAACACTTTACATGTCTGAAAATTAGACAAGAATCAAAAATTAAAATTAAATTAGAAAAGAATTTTGTCATCAAACCCCCTTGCCATTTGGAGACATTTGAATTACTTGGTCTCCATGGTGCATTTTAAGTGCCAAAAGGAAGAAAACATGTTCATAGAATAGCAATGAACTAAATGTAATCGTGGTGATTACACTTCGGGCGCTTCTCGTAAAAATTAATCTATTCTAAGAATTGAAAGTCGAAAATGAAAAGACATTAGATTTAAATACATGTATATAAACTATTACTACTATAAATGGACTAATTATGAAAAGCTAAAATTTTTTTTAATGTAAACATTAACATAATTAACTACTACCTGCCGTGTTACTTAAACTTGTTTATATTTAAGGTTTAAATCTTTGTTTTCATACGTAAGCAAAATAATTACGCAGTATCCTAATTAATGCACTTTAATTATTTCTTCCGAAATTATTACATTTACTAAGGGACTGCGACATCGATACGTCATTACCAACGTTAATTTTTAAAGTTTCATATTTTTTTGTTTCCATTTTCGTAAAGAATATTATTGTAGGTATGCCCGAGTTCGCACCTATCGTCGGGCCATGTTGCTATCGTGACGAACGGTACGAATTATCAGCTCGCAAATAGACAGTTGTATGTACAGGTGCGTGTAGATACATTATAAAAAATCCTTAATATGTTGTAGAAATAAAAAAAATTATTTGCCGTTAAACGTCTGTGAATAAGTTGAAGGCAATCCCGACGACGCATCGCATAAATTATTATCCAAAATAATTAAGAACTGAACAAATGGCTCAAATCTGCTTTGCAAATTCGATTAAATTAATCACGTTGTTTACTTAAATATAAATTTTATTTTATCGATTTTTTATTCACGGTCTGTTTTATTTTTAAATGAAATAAGCAAAGACCAAGTAAGTTGTGAAGCGTTCGAGTGGTCGGGAATTTTAAAATAGAATAAATCGCAATTATTTTAATAAAATGGTTTTATCCAACCATGTGTATTACTCGCGTAAACAGAAAAATTCTTTATTGCTTAATTTGTTATTTATTTAACCTTACGTACAAAATTAGCATTGTATTATAAATATAATGCTGTATCCGACGGCCTCGTCAAATGCAGCGGGCTAGTGAATTCATTCACACTTCAATTGCGACGGATTGCAGAGGATATAAATAATCACAAAATATTAGTTTTTCTTAGTAGAATAATGCTGATTTGGATTGATAGACAAAATTTCCAAAATACAGAACTATGTAACCATTTTTTTTAATAGGATTTAGCGAAATTCTACTGTTTATTTGGATGTTAGCAGTTCGATAAGGAAATTTAAAATAAATTTATCAGGCACTTAATATCCTTTTTGGCACTTATAATCTATTTATTTTTTTAAATTTCATCGATGGCATATCATAATACCGAATGGCATTCTCTACCAGTCAACCCTTTTTTAAACATTGCCCTTACTTTAGGATAAGATTATCCTGTGTTGTAAGGACGTTTTACAAACACTAATTTCACGCGGACAAACACCCCGATGCCAAACAACTATCTGTGGGTCACACAAATAGTTGTCCCATGTGGGAATCGAACTCAAGCCCCCGACGCCAATACCTTGGGCAACTGCGCCAAGGAGTCGTCAAATTATTATTAGTCCTTATTTATGGTAAAAACTAGATTGCAGGTGTTAACCGACGAATATCACAAATTATGTCTGGTTGTTTATATATGTATAATATGTATTTATTTACAAGAGAAAAGTATGTTTAAGTATGTTTATCAGTTTTCTAGTACCCATAGTACAAGCGTTGCTTAGTTTGGGACTAGAGAACATTGTGTAAAAAATGTGTCCGAAAATATTTATTTATTTATGTAAATCTTGTATCGGTGTGCAGGGGAAATATTAAAAGAGCGTCTCACCTGGGTTAGCAGGCGTTCGGCGTCGCCGAGCCGATGCCTTCCTCACGGCGATGGAGATTAGAGAGTCCATCTCGCTTCCCGAGTCCCACCGCGGCCGCTGGGGTAGGGGCCTCCTTGCATCCTGCGTTTTCACGTCCTCCTCCGTGTCCCTGTCACTGCTGGTCGGCGGCAGATTCGAATCGTCGCTCTCCGGGGGCCCGCCCGCCTTTGCGCCGAACGTTTCGACGCTGACATCTCTCACGTCGTCCATATATAGCGGGTGCGTCAGAGTTCTCTGTACGTTCCTCCTGTGCCTCACTTTCACCGAGCCCTCTGACAGCGATCTCTTACCGCTCAACTTGCTCTCGGCTTTCGAGTCCCCGCGGCCGCATTTCAAGTCCGACGGCGACAAAGACTTCTTCCTAGAGTTGCGCCTCTTGATGTTCCGCCTCTGCCGGCTTGACTCCCGCGCGGCTTGCATTGTTGCACATTGGCGTTGTCTGGAATTGAAGGAGACTTCGCTGTTATATACCGACATTGAAATTTCCACCAACTCAAAGCCGTTGTATTGAGGGAAGATTTAAACGCAGTACCGAACTTTCTATATTGTACGCCTTATTAGAATTACAGACATTAGCCTATTTCTCGGAAGCGATCGATATCATATACCAAAATCAGGAAATCAACGTCGAAAAATACCTTTCCAAGCGGACCGCAACCGCAAACCGAGAAAATTCAATGTTATCTGCACCGCATAGTGTCACTATTCCGCCAAACAAACATCTACGTCAACGTGTATAATCTGTGTAAAAAATAATAGTATAATCACGAAAACGATAACGTACACGGGAACATTTTTAGCGCGGCGGCTGCTCGGTTTATTTTCAGCCGGATTGCATTGCTCTCGTAAGGCTGTATCTATGTAACACGTGATGTAATTGTTTAATTATTTGAAAAGTTAAAGGTCGTACGTCTAGACGCCGCGACGGAGGCGTCCGTGGCCAACGGAACTTTGCACTCAACTGACACCACAGTCCACAGTTTAACTGTACAAGCTGTAACACAGGCCTAACTGTTATTAAGGCTTGACAAACAAGGTTTACAGTGTTAGGCCCGTGTTATTTGTTTAAAGATATTTTTCAACCAATGACAGATATAAAGGTTTAAAATCAATCTCTATAATTATAGAAACAATTCAGTTAATGAAGCTAGAAAAGTGTTCTGCGACGGTTTTGACTTTAAAATGTTCAATAACAAACTATTGTAAATAAACTTCGTATATTTCTTATATTTAAAGAAAAATATGCCATTTTACGAAATTACAAATTTGATGTATTAATATATGCATCCCCGTTCTCTTTTTCCAGAATGAAATCTATATTACTTAATTAATTGTAGGTTTCTCTATGAGGCTATGTTTCTGTACGTTAATTATTTATGCGTATTGATATGGTAAATGTTATGTTATGGTGGTGTATCTGTTTGACTTAGGTATTTAATTGTAGATATCTCTACGAAGCTATGTTTCTCTATGCTATTTATTTATGCGTATGGTATAATAGTTATGGTAAATGTTCTCTTATGGTGCAGTCTAGAGCGATGTATGCACGGTGCAACGATAATTTTCCGCTATTTGTCGCTAGTTAATAGCTCCCATTTGAACGTAATTAATCAAGAACGGCCAGTTGACCTGGATTGTTGTCGCAGTAGAGACAAACAGCTCGTGGAGCGTCGCGGCTTTTGTCACCGGAAAAGAATATAGAGTTCTTAATTATTGTTGTATGCTTATGTGTCAGGGTCATAGCATCATACGTCATTTAATAAGTTGTTGAAAGTCGAAGTCAATAACCGCGCAACACGATCTCTTTTTTGACATTGGATTACAACATATTTAATAATTTTTTTGGAAGAATTGTAAATAAAAATATATAGAGTTGTGCGCCTTGTTGAAGTTTGGTGGGTTATTTTGGTGGGTTAAGGAGAAAAAATGTGTGTGGATTTTTAAGATGCGCGCGCATAGTGACAGGAAATATACACGATGAGTTGTTTTGACAGATTAGTGACGTTTGACACATTACTAAAGAGAGATTTATCAACTAACTTCATGATCTTACTTTGTTTATTATTTTTTATTTCACCGAAGAAGTAAAACTGTCTTCAAAGACCACACACACTTTTTTTTAAAGATTTAATAACATTTGATTAATTTACTGTATTTTATTTGGGTAACAAATTCAAAGGTCAAAATTGTTTGTTTATGTTGCTTTTAAACTTTAATATCATTAGGAGGTATATTTATATTATTTATATTAAACAATACATACGTACGGTAGAGATTATGGAACAAATTTCACACATTTATTAAGTTGCAACTTTAAAAAAAAATCATATTTCATAATTTCTATGAAAATACAACATTTCTAAACTAAACATCAATTCCAAGGTTATGCATCAATTGTAAATAGTTACGGTTATCTGTGGGAAAATAGCATATTTAAGACGTGATGAACGAAGAATACAGATAACATCAGGGTCGATGGTTTAAAAAGCGATTTAGAAATGGAATCGATAGTTGAGTGTAACCATTTAGCATTCTTAACTCCTTTAGTCTTTATACAAATTATACATTTATGATTTTTTGATTAAAATTTCGTTTAGGTATATATTAAATTTTTGGTAAGATGCACTAGACATAAGGCTCACTGTCACTTTGTTAAAAATGTTGCACAGTGTATCTTGTGTTCAAATTTAACCTATTTTTAAAAAAACACTGAAAATAAACTAATTGTGTTATGGTGGACCAATATGCATCAATTGTCCAAGTGAGTATACACTTTTTTTCTTTTTTAACACATTGCACAATGATTAACGGCCGCAATTCAAATGTGACGTCACAACTTACGATAAGTGCCCTCTCATTAGCAATAATTCCTCTTCCCAGGAAAAAGCATTCAGTTCCCATGTAACGTTCCCAGGGCCCGTTTGACTTGAAAAATAATTACTCGACATTTATTGAATAAAAGTTCCAGTTATTGTTGCGGTTTCCAGTGCCTTGGCGTGAAGTGCGTTCAAGTGCAAGTTCTTCCTGACTGGTGGGTCACAGCGCTCCCATGGATTACGACAATAGATCTTATCTTATCTGACACACCTACGTTTAGCTATAGTTGCTTACTTATCAGACACCAGCCGAGACACTATTTTTGGTTCAAATAAGAATAAAAAAAAAATGTTTATTGAAGTAAGATTTAAATTTCGAGTTCTTATTGCCGTTTATGTTACTCTTAAATAAATTAATGTATTTGTTAAATGGATTGTAAATTACAAGTTTTCATGGAATACTTCGCCAATGAACAGATTTAATGTTTGGTGAGTGCTAGTTGACGTTTCATAGCGGGGCAATTAAATTGTAAAGTAAATAATTTGCACGTAGTTCGAATTACTGAAGCGGACCTGTTAATTATACATAGGAATTCATGACAGTCGAAGACCGTCAGCGCTAGCAATAACCAGTTTCGATGACAGGAAGGATATACAATGTCGAGGCAATTTATGATAGTGTTATGAACACAATATGTAGATATGAGTTTTGATTTTATATAGTTCTAGAGCGAAGCCGGCCGCAAGGACGAAACTTTAAGCATGTCCGAGAGCCGGTCATAAGATGAACTTTTAAACTGAGTTTCACAAAGCTAAAAAGTCATAGATGAATACCGAATACATGGTTCACGGTTCACGTGGCGCAACTTCTTAATTTTAGCAACGTTACATTACTGCAACTCTTAGTGTGGTTTAGATATTCACGGGAACCAGGAATTTGCCCCTAAAACGTTTGCCACCTTCTTCGATAAAAAAGCCCGATTTATTTGCCATAATATGTTTCCTTAGAAATGACACCTTTGACGGGTGCGTTGTATATAAATGTTAAATATAAATCAATTTTCGTTCTTTAATTATTTTCAATTATTTAATATTTGTTAATGAATAGCGTTTGCGTCCATAAGACGTTAATTGACGAAAAATTTATGATTATTTAATATCAATTAAGTAATTTCAGTACAGTTGTTTGTTTTAATTATTGTCTAGTGATTTTCAAAAATAAATAAATTGTTTGTGAAACTCGCCATGACACGAGTATTACTCTGAGGAAACGTTAAAAGTAACAAAACGGTTAATTTGTAAAAAAAATAGACAATTTGTACTATAACCTTTTCAAAATCATATCAATAAAGTTATAGTTTACAGTTTTGATACGAGTAATGAATTATTGTTTTTATGGCACCTAGCATTAACACGTCGGTTCGATTTATTATTTAAATAAACTTAATCTTTTGTTAAGAGCTTTCTGTATACCAAACTGCCTTTAGAAATGTGAGTGAACTAGATTGATGAGTGAAGTGTACGTGTATTATTTTTATAAAATTTTCTACAGCGCTACACAAATCATGAAATTTTTTATTTTTATTTTATGCGAAAATTTGTCAATCGAGCAGACGGTTCACCTGATGTTAACTGAATACCGCCGCCCATGGACATCTGCCACACCTGAAGGTTACAGATGCGTTGACAACCTTTTGATAATTGGGTTCCGGCTACCTCACTCACCAGACGAAACGCGAAAGTATTTGTCACACTTCCACTTAACGCTGGTCTTCTTCTTCTGGTCGTGGTACTTACCCGGACGGGCCTGCCCATTCGTGCAACAGCCGAGGCTGCTGCGTGGCTCTACCACCGTTAACTAGTAATTGATAAGTATTGTTTAAGTCGTTTGCATTTTACATCGGCTACGTTATCGCAATAATTAAAAGTATAATATATTATGATTTCACGACCCACCGGTTCACAGAACACCGGCGTGAAGTAGAATTAATATACTATACTCATATACTAGACGAAACTCTATTTCGTCTAGTATATGAGGTAACCCTGCCTAATGTTTAGCGCAGGACGTAGATCTGCAATCTCTCAAGTGTTTTACATGCCCATGGAAGACGCTTATCACTTAAGATCAGTTGAGACGGATTTTTTTCTTTTATAGAGTTCCGTTCCCAAAAAGGGTAAAACGGGACCCTAATTACTAAGACTATTATTAAGACTCCGCTGTTTACTTGTCTGTCCGTCTGTCACCAATTACTCAAAAACAACAATTACTAAAAAATTGAATAAAAAAATATTTAAGTGGGGCTCCCATACAACAGACATGCCTGATGACATGATTCTTTTTCCGTTTCTGTAGATAATGGTATGGAACACTTCGTGCGCGACTCCGACTCGCACTTGGCCGCTTTATCTTTTTTTATTTGGTCCAGTCCACTAGATACACAATAAATATTTGGTGTCATTCATATCGGGTTCGATTCCCTCGCGAAAGATATATTTGTATGATCTACAATTTAATCTTCAAGCGTCTTGACGTTTGTTCAGATCATTTTCATGCTTAAACGCTATAATATGATATATAAATAGAATAAAGTGCAATAATGT